CAAAGCAAAGCAAAGCAAAGCAAAGCAAAGCAAAGCAAAGCAAAATATAAGCACAAGTTTCAAGAACATAAAGGAAGGAGAAAGACAAGGAAAGGATGAAAGAAAGAAGAAAAGAAAAAAAGAAACGACAATGTTGTGTGACAACAACCGCTGACCGTGCATAACTCCTGTTATTTACTTCGCGTGACAGTAGTTGCGTTACATGTTTGGGTGTTAAATCAGGACAAGTAGAACAAAGTACAGAGTTCAACAAGTTTTTTTAACAACGGCGTATGCCTTGTGAACAACTGTTTTTCCAAGGTAATTATAAATATTCTTTGCTTAATTTCCCTCATAAACTTTCTACATAAATCTATTTTAAGATCATAACTTATAAATTAGTGAAGCACTTTAGTTGTTATATTATACGAAGTGCGAGGTCATAGATAAGCTTGACTCGAATCTAAAAAATACATTCATTTATCTATCGATTTGAGACTAGTTTGTATTCCTTCTAGGATGAACATTTCTATTTAGGCATGTTTAGCTCTTATTGTAAAGCAGATAATTTCTCTTTAAGTACGTGGGTTTCTTCTTCATGTACTCTTTTGCTTTGTTTGCTTTCAACTGGTGCACATGTTCAGCTCTGCTCTCTCTCTCTCACTCTCTCTCTCTTATATAAACGTGCAGGTCATGTACTAGCACGACCTGACGATTTATAGTCATGTATTAATATTGAATGGAATTCGATAGAATACAAAAACTTTAACAAGTAAAAATTTGATCTTTTTTTTTTAGCGGAACATTATCTGAACTTTTTCTGTTCCAGTGCTTGTTTATTTAGTAGCACATGTCGTTGTCCACGTCGTCGTTAGAAGAATATACGTGACAAATATAAATTTTTGCCCAATAGTGACTATTCCGCTCATACGTAATAATATATCATTGAATTTGTGTTTTACATATGTAATTAAACTTATCGAACAAGGCATTTTTCGAAATTTTTTAAGCCGATGCAGATTTATTAAATTTCGATGTATTTTTCATACATTTGAGGCATTTGTTAATATTTATTGCCTTTTGTTTTGTCTTGTTTTTCTGGTTCTTTGATCAAAGCGTCATCATTTACGTATTTCCTAAATGTTTGCGGCGGGCCAGTATTGGGAAATACATTTTTGTTTTGTTTTCTGGCGCCTCCAAAATAGATTAATTGTAAACAAAAAATATTTGTAAAGACAATTGACATATTTTGAAATACCATTAGTAAAAAAATGCTTTTATAACTCGGTTCTATTCAGTAGTTGAATTGCGTACTTTGATCAGCTTGAAATAATAAATATTCAGTTTCTTATCTTATCATCTTTCAATAATATCTCAATTGATCTCTATTTGGTATAATTTTAGTTTTGAATAGTTTCTCGCGCTGTGATTTGTCGAACGACTGCTGGAGCGGTGGAGGTTGTCCATAGTTTGCCAGATAGTAATTAATACTAAAACGTTTTTTTTTTAATCCTGAATTTCGTCTTTTCTCTGATATTCAAGTCTGAAATTATACTAAATCGCAAGGCTCCGGTAAATATTCCACCAATAATCACTTCACCTTCGGTAAATAATTGTTAAATATTAAGAACTCCTTGAATATATTATTATTTAGACTCTGTATTAACTCTTTTTTCTAGATGGCGGAAGTGTTTGTGATTGGTATAGTTGGAATCGTAGTATTTTACCTCTTGATCCTTGGTCTTGGTATATGGGCGGCAAGACGAAGGAAAGAAGGTGAAGAAGAGGCCATGTTGGCCGGACGGAACATTGGAGTCTTTATTGGAACGTTCACGATGACTGGTTAGTTAAACACAAATGCTTTTATCTTCGCCCGACAGAAACTTTAATCTTATGTAAGAAAACGAATTCTGAAGTCTTTTTGAAATCTTGAAAGATAGTATCTACATATACCACCCTTAGAAATTCTCAGCTTCTTCTGACGGAATTTAGAGCCTTTTGTGAAAATAAATCAAAATAAATATTTAGGACTTAGAAAAAGAACTTAGTCAACTGCATAATTTAACTTTGTATAGATTAATATCATTTGGAGTTCAAAGTAGGCGAATAAAAGGTACGAATACCACGCACAATGTACGAAAAAAAGTCAGAGAAAATGGAAATTGGTTTTAGTTTTACTGATTGACACGTTTCCTAATTCGTAGAATACATTAGTGTTCAGTGTTCTTTGATTACAGACTCATTTACTCATGTTTAGCCTGTAAAGAATACACAACCTTAGCTATACACGCACTTTGAAATTCCACGGACCGACCTTCACTGGAACACAAGAATATTCTACACAAAACCGTTGTTAACCCTGAGCAACAGAGAACTCGAAACTTACCTGTCCTAGGCCTTCAACTTAGGTTTGGGGGTAGATGTTAATGAAGCTTAATACTAAAAAGGAAACTAGTTTGTTTAGGTTTGTTTGTTTTTTTTTCTTCAGCGACGTGGGTCGGCGGAGGGTACATCAACGGTACTGCTGAGATCGTGTATGGCAGTGGATTGGTTTGGGCACAAGCACCCTGGGGGTATGCACTGAGCCTGGTTGTAGGTGGGTATTGTACTGACCGTCAATGTATACAAGATGGAATATGAACGTGCATAGTAGGGTAGTATTCAGGGGACCGGGAGCGCGCGCCGCCTTTTTCGCGCGAGCTTTCCCGCCAAACCCGCCAGTGAAACCCAAACACCTCGCCTCCCCTCTCTAGCAACAGTTGATTGCTACCTTTGTCAAATCCTGGATTCCCATCTAAAAGGCTTGTGTATTCTAAATACTTGCTTGATTATCTAAGGTGGCTTGGCGTTCGCTAAAATCATGCGAGACAGAAAATACATGACAATGCTTGATCCGTTTCAAGAGAAGTACGGTCTACGAATGGGTGGCCTTCTTTACATCCCCGCCCTCATGGGAGAGATATTCTGGAGTGCTGCCATCTTGTCTGCTCTCGGTGCTACCGTCAGTGTGGTTGTTGGGCTGGGCAAACAGTTGTCAGTCATCGTGTCATCGTGTATCGCTGTGTTCTATACTCTTATTGGTGGATTATACTCTGTGGCCTACACTGATGTTATCCAGCTTATTTGCATATTTGTTGGACTGGTAAAAGGCTAAGTTTTGACTATGGGTTTTGACCCAGGGGGTAGGGGGTAGGTACTGCTTTGATCTTCCTACCTAACCGACACCTTGCCCCATGTTTACTACTCCAGGCAGGGTGGACAGAAAACCTAACAGATTTGACAAATTGATAAGGCTACCGATAGATCGAATTAGAATTTTGAAAAGGAAAAAAAAATTGTGAGGAGGGAGGAAAAACCGGAGAACCCAGAGAAAAACCCTCGACGCACAGGAGAGAACCAACAAACGACTCTACTCACTCACTTTACTCGTGCTAATTGCTTTAAGGTATCAGGGTACCCCTAGCGACCATTGAGCATTCAACTCTTGATAGCACAAAACCTTTTAATCAAAACCTTAACAAAGTATACATTTTCTGAAAGCTGAATAAATGTAGAAACTATTCCTTTTTTCCTTTTTGTAAAATATATTTATCCTTTTAAGTTAGAGCGAATTATTCAAATTTTCACCGTGGCATCTTCGCGGAGTTCGATGACAGCCGGTAATGATCGGAAACCAATGCTTATTACCTTTCCGAGATCACAAGACAWCACTTGTCAAAAGTGTGTCTCCGATTTTTGATTAGTTGCCCCATTTTTTTTTTATACGCTCTTCAAGTTATGACGCTGCTATATCAGTTGTTTCCGAGCCAAAATCCACGATAACTTTGGAGATGAGCAAAAAATCAAAAATCGGAGACACACTTTTGAAGAACAACTTTTTAAGATGACGTCCTCAAAAAATTTCAGTTAAAATAAGGGGATTACGAACACCAAAATATGTTCGAGATGACAGACAAAGTAACGAGAAACCAAGATCGAATTACCCTATTATTGTTATTCAGGGCGGGAAGTCCAGGTAAATTCTCTTCCTAACTGAACTTTTGTTATTCAGTACCGTTCAGTAGTATTTTTTTAGGCATTCATCGCTATTATTCAAGTTCAGACAATTTGTTCGCTCAGGGCATACGTTTTATCTTTAACGTTTACGCCTAACTAAAGAGAAAAGCAAGTGAAAAAGCAGGAAATCAAAAAGAAGGTCTAAAAGCGTCCAAGGTAAAACAACATGGCTGCCGGATAGAGACGTAACGACAGATCGTTGACAAGTGATGTCAACAATAAATCGAAGACTATTAAAGCTAAAAAGTCGTTCTTTGTTTATTTCTCGCTATATTGAAACACGCTATTGGAAAATTAGTTTTGGAAGATGATAGCTTATTGTGTATTCTCTCGAAAAATATAAAAACCTAAAAATCGATCTTTCATAGCAACTTTGGGGTACCCTGATACCTTAAGCAGATTTCGTATGACTGTGAAAAATGCCCTGTCGTGCTGTTAACATTTTGGATAATCAACCATCTCGTGCGCCGTGCTTGGTTCAATGGAATAGGTTCTCCACTTATTCATATTTTCACAACTCTTCCTATTTGTCGTTTAGTGGCTTAGTCTTCCATTTGCCATGACGAATGAAGCAGTGACCAAGGTATCTGACACTTCATCTTCTTGGCTGGGCGAATGGCCTGAGAACCCTGGTCTATGGATTGACTTTGCTCTACTTCTGGTACGTTCTGATATATACCAAGAGAATATGATTATCGCGCGGGTATGGTAACGAGTTAAAAATAGCATCAATGATTCTAAAAATAGCACCAAAGAGTGCACATGATGGGGCACTTGGATTCCTTCTCTTAGTTCATATTCTCTCGTATATACTTATTTCAGATATCGTTGTCGCACCAAAAGCCTCAAGCAACAAGCCAAGACCGCAGAGAACGCCGGTACTTTTAGCTGTAATTAGTTTATTCATGGTACATTTTCATTCATTTACTTCACAAATTGCTCCAAGCAAGGCTGCTTGAGATGATAATTAGTGGAGAGCTATAGCCACTTGCATGAACCATGAATAAATCAATTATAATTAAAAGTACGGACGTTCAGTGGAGCCTTGGCTTGTTACTTGAGGCTCTTGGTGCGACAACGCTTTTCGAAATAGGTGTATACTACTAATACCCTCAGAGCACGGCTCTCCACGCAACTCCACCCTTGATTCGGGCCTTGACTACTAATCTCACAGACAGATGTTGAGTTCAATGCCCATATCAACAAAATGCTGCCTACAATATTTATATTTATTTTTCGTAGATCTTTGGTGGCATTCCATGGCAAGTTTACTTTCAACGTGTCTTGGCATGCAAAACGTCTGGTAAAGCACGGGGCCTTTCTTTAGCTGCTGCGTCCGGATGTATCGTGATGGCTATACCTGCTGTATTGATAGGAGCAGTAGGATCCTCAACAGGTAGGATAAACCATGCTACATCCAGCAATATAAGGCTGTATGATGTAACAGAATGTGCAGAATTTTAGGAATAATTTGTTCACTTGAGTAATGCTTTTTGAATATAATTCTAGCATGTTTAGTTTAGTAACCGAGATTGTTTTGACTTGGAGATCTACTTGTTGTTTCCTGTTCTACAAACCTCTTTCAAATTAACTCCTAAACATTCAAGCCACCAAGGTTGAACTTGTCTAGAGATACGTGATGTAAATAGAATCTCAGATTAGATTACATTGTTATATAAGGACGAGCCATTTATCTATTTCTGTGCATTTAATCTTGTACTTAGTTGTGAACGAGGCTAAGGTTGTAGTTCAGGTTATACTGGGAGTACGTATACAGACCTAAGTAAGGACAGTGGCCGAGTAAGGAATCCCGACTGACAGTCAAACCGACTAAGGAAAGTCCTTCTGGTCAATCAGGCCTTGCTTTACTTTGTGTAGTTAGATGGCAAACACTCAACTTAAAAGTAACGTCTAAATCAAGGATCGGCAGTCCAGAGTTCCCTCTTGTACCGTAGTCTTACAGGATGTGTTTTTTTCCCCTATAGACTGGACTAAAACTGATTTCTATACCAATGGAAATAACAGCACCCAAGCTACCAAACCAGAAGGACTTCTTATCCTCCCGATGGTTTTACGTCACCTTACGCCTAACTATATATCGTTCTTTGGTCTTGGGGCGGTGTCTGCTGCCGTTATGTCGTCTGCAGACTCCAGCATCTTGTCTGCAGCCAGCATGTTTTCCTACAACATCTATAGGCTCATCTTCAGGCAAGAGGTAAGTCATTTGTAGCCTGAACTAACCAATACCGGAGGGAGGTAGAAGAACTACTGAGGACGTAAAGAAACCCTGTCAGTGACCACCCTCAGTACCTACACTTCATACTAACCACCTCTCATGATTGTAAATTGCATAAAAAGCAATCTGAATTTGATTCACAAGTTAAAGTAAAAAGCAACCTCTGGGCTGATTTATGTCAGAGCATGGCTAATCACAGATCGATCCCTAAAGCACCGTTTACACTGGCGATTTTTGCGGCGATTTCTGCTGCGATTTTTGTGGCAATTTTCGGAAATATGAAATCTTTTGTCTCATCCTTCAAAAGAGACATTCGTCTAGAAAAATCTTGGTATCCTGAAAAAAACTTTACGAGTAAATTCTTTACCATTATTTATTATGGACAAAATCGCCGCAAAGATCGCCGCAAAAATCGCCGCAAAAATCGCCGCAAAAATCGCCGCAAAAATCGCCGCAAAAATCGCCGCAAAAATCGCTAGTGTAAACGGGGCTTAAGACAACTTCTTGGTTGATGTAAGCCAGGGAATTAACTGCCAACTCACACATCGTAAACGCCATCCTGGAAGCGCTCCTTTCTTCGTTCTCTTGGTGAATATGTGCTGTTATATTTCAGGCATCAAGCACGGAGGTGCTTTGGGTGATGCGGATCGCAATTTTTATAGTAGGTGCTATAGCAACAATCATGGCTCTGACCGTCGATTCCGTATACACTCTGTGGGCCTTGTGTAGCGATGTTGTCTACGTGACCCTCTTCCCTCAACTCTGTTGCGTCATCTACTTCACCAAGACCAACACATATGGATCATTCGTTGGTTTTCTCGTTGGGATACTACTCCGTGTCCTGGGAGGGGAGCCGTCACTTAAGATCCCGGTGATAATCAAATTCCCGTACTATAACGAAACCGACGGCCAGCTTTTCCCGTTTCGCACCTTGGCAATGGTTTGCGCGTTTGTTTCTATTCTCGTTGTTTCTTATTTGTTCAGGATTCTTTTCCTGAAGAGCATTCTCCCCACCTGGATGGATTTCTTACACTGTTTTAGAGAATACCGACTCCATGAGATAGAAATGCTTGAGCAATCTTACATAAAAAAGAAAAATGATGGAATGTGATCATTTTCCCTCTTATCCTTCTGCCTTTTTAGTCATTAGTTTTTATTCCCTTTTATGAGGGTCATTTTATTTCAAGTTCAAAAGTTGCCGACCTCGATCTAACTGCGTTCAGTTGGTCAGTATATTCAAGACCTCTAGCACTGTTTTTCCCTGTCTGGACCTCCTGGCCGGTAAATAACCACTATGTAAATCCTGATTTTCCGGCATTTATAAACTAATTTAAAAATTTTCGAAGATTCTTAATATTTAACCATACAATGAATAATAAACATAATAAACACAATACTCTCTTAAGGATAAAATTATGTTTTCATATAAATATTTTTTGTTGTGGGATTCATTCGTTAAAAAACATTTACTTGTTTTGAATTATGAATAAAAAGAGGGAGGGAGGAAGGGAGGAAGGAAGGAAGGAAGGAAGGAAGAATATACGGTCTGTGTATTGCTAGTGGCATTTGGTTGCAACAGAAGGGTGCGAGCCTTGTATGGCAATAAGAGAAGGATTCGTACTCTAATAAGCGCCAGCCGACTAGACCCGTCAGCTATCAGGACACTAAACTGTGACACGGTCTGGGGTAAGTGCTGCTCCATGGCACTACTCGGATTTTGGACATTTAAATTAACAAAGGTATTCCCAGAACAAACAGTGCTTTGAAAATTGATTTATTACATTCAAAAAAATTCTACATTCTTTTTTTCCCCATTCAATTCTAGCACCCACGTGGTATATCACGCGGTATATTCTGATATGTACACGTGATTCATCTGAAGATATCACGTGGCAAATATGGAACCCACGTGATATATCACATGGTATATACTGTATTGTGATATGTACACGTGATTCAATTAAAGATATCACGTGGTAATTATGAATCCCACGTAGTATATCACGTGGTATATTTTGATATGTACACGTGATTCATCTGAGAATCACGTGTCAAATTTTAAACAGGCGCGTGACATCTGATAGAAGGATCACGTGACCCTGGCAAAAGAGAGGTCGATATCTAGTCAAAAGGCGGCGCATCTCCTACTTCATAAAACAGGCTCCTGACATCCAACATGGACGCCAGTTCTAGGATTTGTTTTTCGATGCCTCCATTGATTAGAATCTCGGATGGAAGTTTGGGGAAGCACTTTGGGTAGTAATCAGAACCCTGCAAAATAACGTTAGTATAATGGTTAGCCTTCAGTTGACTCATGACTTCAAGTGTATAGATTAGATGCCGTATCAAGGTACGCAATTGACGACATCCGTTTAATTAATCACAGTGCGCGTCATCGTCCAGCCAATCTGAATAGTGGGGCACGGCATGTTCATTACCATCATTACCAAAGACTTCGAAAGCCTTGATTCCTAGTTTGGCCTTGTCATATATACATATAGTTGAAATAGTTAATGTATATACATACTTTGAAAGCTCGATGTAGATGCATCGCATAAAAACAGAAGATATAGCGCAGCACCATCATCTTCAAAAAATCGTCTTCTAAAAGCTTCAAATAAGAAAGATCTGAAAAACCAAATAAGAAGACCTATAGTTAGTGACTGGTAGCCTTTGGAACAGCCGCCGTTTTATTTGGCTTTTACCAAAGTTCCACGAAAGACTGATGGCAATTTTCTTTATTGTACACTGTATCCACTCACCTACAGCACGAGACCAGTCGTGTAAAACTCGTAAGATATCCGTCATGACGCGACGTACATGACGTTGACAGTCTTCCCATAAGTCACTGCGAAGGTTCGAGACACTGCACACGTGACAGAATGCAAGAAGAGGGCTGTGGAGGAATAGTGTGAAGAGACTGCCCTTGCGATTCAGTTCTAAAGGAGAATGTGAGAATTTAAAAGTGACACAGATATTTTATGAATTTTTTTTACCTCTATTGGTTTTTAGGTTCGTCATTCTTTTCCTTTTCTTCTTCTAAAACCCGATGTTCTTATTTTCTTGACTTTTCCTGTTTCTTTACTTCCACCGTCCTTTCCTTCAATCCTTTGCTCCCTTTCTCACCTTACTTCGTTCCCATTTTAAATTCATACTTGCAACTCAGTCTCCCTCCTTGCCTCTCTCCCTCCCTTCTTCCATCTATCCCTCCCTCCCTCCCTCCTTTCATCCCTCCCTCCCTCCTTCCCTCCCTCCTTTCATCCCTCTCTCCTTCCTTCCATCTATCCATACCTACCTCCTTACCTCCCTCCCTCCTTTCATCCTTCTCTCCTTCCTTCCATATATCCCTACCTACCTCCTTACCTCCCTCCCTCCTTTCATCCCTCTCTCCTTCCTTCCATCTATCCCTACCTCCCTCCTTACCTCCCTCCCTCTTTTCATCCTCTCCTTCCTTCCATCTATCCCTCCCTCCCTCCTTACCTCCCTCCCTCCTTTCATCCCTCTCTCCTTCCTTCCATCTATCCCTACCTCCCTCCTTACCTCCCTCCCTCTTTTCATCCCTCTCTCCTTCCTTCCATCTATCCCTACCTCCCTCCTTACCTCCCTCCCTCCTT